AATTTATTGAAAGACCATGGGGCACTTTGTAAGACACTAGAGCTATAAAAACATGAAAGACTCAGTATCTGACCTCTGTAAGCTCACAATTGGGGAATGGGGGGGAAAGACAGACCCAAGTGTTATAGGCTGAACTGTGACCTCCCCAAATATCCATATGTAGAAGTCCTAACCCCAGGTACCTAAGAACATAACTATATTTGGAGCTAGGGTCTTTAAAGAAGTGATTCAATTCCAAGGTCATTTAGGGTAAGCTCTAATCCAGCCTGACTGGTATCCTTATTAGAAGAGGAAATTCAGACGCAGACACGTACAGAGGAAAGACGATGTGATGACACAGGGAGAAGACGGCTGTCTACAAGCCAAGGAGAGAGGCCTGGAATGGATCTTTCCTTCGTGGGTGTCAACCCCAAGAAAGAATATACCTGCCAAAAAGGACTCCTTACCTGGGCCCAAATTCATCATCAGGATCTAGCAGCCATTGTTTACAGAGGCCTCTCACACACACTGCACCTTGGGGGGAAAGTCACAGACCTCCTGCATGGCTTTCCTGCTGGCTGAGCCGACCCTTGGAAAGAAGCTCCAGGTACTATATTTCGACTGATGAGACTGAGGCCTCCCCCAGCCAATCAGCTTCACAGCTGCTCTCTACAGAGGCTAAAAAAAACCCTAGCTACTTGCTTTCCAGGTTGCCTGCAGCATGAGACCCAATCTGGCCAATGGGAGCTGAGAGGTGAAGTCTAGGTGAAGCCTCCTAAGGAAACGTTTCCCCTAATAAAGAAGAGGAAGACCCAGGTGGCGTGGCTCAGCAGTTGAGCATCGATCTATGATCCAGATCACGGTTCTATTCCCGGTCAGGACACATGCCCAGGTTGCGGGCTGGATCCCCAGCAGGGGGCATGCAGGAGGCAGCCAATGAATGATTCTCTCATCATTGATGTTTCTCTCTCCCCTTTCCTCTCTTTGAAATCTATAAAAACATATATTTTTAATCAAATCACTATTATATAGAACTTTACCCAGAACTGCTGTATTTTCCCCAGCCCATTTGCCAGAAGTCAACAAGAGCATCTAGCACTTTGTAACATCTGATCAGCGCTTCCTAATGCAACCTCCACTCCCACCCCATCAATCTGGTAGGACAGTAATTCCAGAGTTAAAATTCAGAAAAGTGGCAATTGAAAGTGATGGTGGAAAAACTCCTATGCATGGGTTTTTGCTTCCTCTCCTTCTGGGGGATGGGTGGAGCATGCTCACTAAGATGTGTAATTAGGTTAACCTTGTGAGCCTCTCACAGTTATGTGGAGAACCTGTCCCATAGCAAGCATTCTGGAGAAGTCCTGAGCTTCCTCCAAGACTGCCCTTACTGCCATGACACCCATTTGATCCAGAGTGATGTTCTAAGTGGCTCTGATACTTGAGTGTCTGAAAAATCACCCCAGAGCAACCAACTTTACATTGTGAAAAGCAACTCTGACATGGCTACTAGTGCACAGACCATAGACAAATAATTAAGAAATGTAACATCAGAAATTTTAACAGGCCCAACCAAATGTAAAAACTAAAACCAGACCGGTGAATTGGCCGTCTCTACTCACAAGCAGCATTTCCAAAATTCAGAAAGAACCTATTTTGTTTTCCATCAACCACACATTTATTTAGAGAGCTCAATGTTTCTTTCCTATTATACTGTACAAAAAAGGGGACAAAATACAACATAAATGTATACAATAACCCACAGAATATGATCAATATCCTGATCAACACCTCAAATGGGTTACAAGGTTTTTTCTCCTGGAAGCACCCTTTCCAAGGAGCCCCAACAAGAGCTCAGCACAGAAAAATGGGGCGAGGGGTTACTTGGTGGAGGAAGTTTGAGAAAAGCGGCATCCCACTAAACACTTCCTTAAAGGATTCACAGTGCACATTCGCTCATTACAAAACAGGACTGACATAAAGATACCTTAGCAACCTTGCTTATCTTAGCATTTCCAAATTTATTTAATCAAGAAGCCCATTTCTCCCACAGAATTAGTATCCACAGAAAAGTGGTGGCCATTACTGGTCTGGGAAACACAGGGAACGCTGATTTAAGTATCAAAGAACTTATATGCACAGCCCATGGACGCAGACAATAGTGTGGGGAAGCCTGGGGGTGGGGTGGATGCAGGATGGAGGGGATCAACAGTGGGGGTGGGGCGAGGGGACATCTGTAATACTTTCAACAATTAAAAATATATATATATGAATTTAAAAAAACAAACACTGCCTTTTACTTCTCTAGCATGGCAACCACCACTAGGAAAGCGAAGGGATTGGGGGGGGCGTGGCTCCTTACCCCATTCATGGCCAAGGCTGATTCTTCACTAAATCACATACCCCCTTCCTCTCTCACCAACTCCTTCCCAGAAACAGTGGCATATGACCTATTAATTTTGTTCCCCATTACCTACAGAAAGAATTCATTCAAATAAAATTGTACAAGACAAAATGCAAATCTATATACCTATACTTCGAAGTATACATGTATATATTGAACCTAAGGTAGTCTTTAGAAAGACCACCTTATCAGATACAGTGAACCACTATCAGCTGGCATTGTAGAAAACGGCAACAGTCCTTTTGGGAATCTCTAAACTCTAAAACCTTCTTTAAAAAAAAAAAAAAAAGGCTCTGCATATAGACATTCCCCTATGCTAAATCAGAGATTTACATAAGAGATTCTGCTATGTTCAGGGGAAAGGAGTAAGTTAAATTATAAATGCTCTTACAAAAACATCGAGATAGAAGGATACCAGAAACTACTTGGTTAGAAATAATATTTATTATTCCCTCCCTCCATGTACAGATTACTTTTCAGAAACATGAAGGTATTATCCATGTCATCAATAACAGTTTGTAGAAAATAAACCTAATTCGTATCTTGTCAATATATTTCTATCATTTTTTTAGAAGAACCATTTTATTTTTCCATGTTAGTTCAAGAACAGCTTCAAGTTTTGTTTCAGATCAAATCAAGATTATCTTTGTTTATAGGTCATTTCTTGACAGAGCCCCACCCCCCAACCCCTAAAAAAAAATTCTATATCCTAAGTGATAAACTCTTCTTGTACATTCAGCAAACTTTATATTGGAAAAGAAAAAGAGTAATTGAATAGGTACTTACTCTCGTGCACAGGAATAAATCTAGCTGAGCTTCTACACCTTGCCTTGCAATGATGTTTACATAAAATAAATCATACCGTTACAATGGTAATTTCTTGAAACGTAGATATGAAAGCTATACACTTATTCCTCTGAAATGTCCTTCTAATTTTTAATCTGTAATTAAACCACCACCATAAGAAGAGCGGCATTCCTAGATGTTACCCTTTCCCCCTCAGCTACTGCTCTCTACAAGTTTGAATTGTCTTCTCAGATCGTGTAGACACATTGAAAGCACAGGGGAAAAACATTTCAGCTTGCTGACATAATGCCCTTAAGTTTGCTGACATAATGCCCATATTTTAACTTTAAAATGTAAAAATGAGAGTTAAAGCATCACTTAATTCATACAGTACAATATTAATCAACAGTGTCCCACCAGACTCAGAAGTTTCCTAAAACTGGTTGTCTTTTCTGTATTTACTAAGTTTATAACCAATGACCCAATCAAAGAATGTGCTTGTAATAGACTGCTGGTTTAATTTTAGAATTAGAAGTTCCAATGTTGGGCTATTTTCAAATATAGAAATGCTATGAGTGGCATATGAACTATTCATTTTGTTTCCCATTAACTACAGGAAGAATTCATTCAAATAAAATTGTACAAGACAAAATGCAAATCTATATACCTATACATCGAAGTATACATGTATATATTGAACCTAACTAAGGTTTTATAGGCAATACTAACTTAGTTCTGGTTACACATTCCTAAAGACTTAGTAATTGTTTTAAAGATACATGTTATAAAGACGCTTATGTAAAAGGCAAAAATTAAGAATCAAGATGATCTTTGAGGTTTTCGGTATTATTTCAAAAAGCTGTTTCTATTCCCCATAGAATAAAACTATGCATTTATCTTAGAAAGAAAAATTATAAAAAGATAATGCTATCATGTAAATAATTCACAAAAACTATACTGTATATCCCATAAAAGTCATACCTATTTAAGGTAAATCACAATTATGGTTTATATTGTATTACAGACATCACCATCACCTTTCCTCTTTCATAATGAGAGGGTTTAACTTTATTTTTAACTTACTTAACTAGTGCCACAGGAATTCAACTACCCATCGCAACAAGTTAAACAAGATTACAAAATAAGGCATTCTGCTCACATGTCATTAAAGTAACAGGTTGAGTACAGTAAAGTGGGTTCTTTTCCTTTTTGCAAATTTATATAATCCAAAAATTATATAGAAGGCAATCCTTAACACCCTACCAAAAAAAAAAAAAAAA